AGGTTTCCCCTTGGTCGTCTGAGCTGAATGGCGCAGCACTACTTCAGGAACCCCCTCTGACCCACTAGGGCCAGCCAGAACATCTTTGGCATCAGAGAGCTCCCCCTCTGACTTACTGCGCCGTCTGGACTTCTCAGCCGAACCTGTGGGGGAAGATGGAGCACTGCGTTGCTCAATCTTCACAGCCTTGGGAGAAGTTCTCCCCTCTGCCTGCACTGGGTCTGGACTCTGAGCCTCAGTAGCAGGTTCAACCTCTTCCTCTCCTTCATCGGCAGAGTCTAGCAGATTCTCTGACAGGATGTCAGGGTTCCCATGTATCCTTGCCCAGCCACTCTGCTCACAGAATTCAGCACTGTTGCTGAGCAGAATCCTGGACTGATTCCCTGACGGATAAGCAAACCTCCATCCCTTGGTCCCTGGCTCATACCCACAAAAAATAATCTTTTGGGACCTGGGTTCACCTTTCTTGCGTTTGGCCTTTGGTATGAGGACCCAAGCCTCACAGCCAAAAACATGGAAGTAGTGCACTTTTGGTTTCTTTCCATGCAGCAAGAAGTAGGGTGTGTCACCTACCACTGAATTGAACGACCTGTTCAGAATAAAGTTGGCCATTCGCCAAGCCTCCCCCCAAAAGCGCTGTGGGAGCCCGGCATCAAACAAAAGAGCTGCGGACATCTCCCCTAGCGTCCTGTTCCTGCGTTCCGTGATCCCATTCTGTGGGGGACTGTGTGGAGAAGTCAACCTGTGTTGAATCCCCTTTTTGCAGAAGAAACTTTGCAGTGCAGACCCGGTGAACTCCCCACCACGATCGCTCTGAAAGTTTTGCACCCGTGTGGAAAACTGCAGTTCCACAGCCGCAATCCAGTCTTTGATTAATGGCGCAGCTTCATATTTGTGTTGGAGCATGAAGGTCCAGGAGTTGCGTGTATGGTCATCAATCAGAACCAGCGCAAATTTGGCTCCGCCCATACTGCTCACAGACATCGGACCACACAAATCTGCATGAATTAACTGAAAAGCCCTAGTGGTCACCCTCTCAGACCTTGGGTATGTGCACGTTTTCACCTTTGCGGACTTGCACGCTCTGCAATCTAGAAACTTAGCACATGATTTCATTTTGCACCCTTGCGTACACCCTGGGATCTTCATCACTGACCCCCAGGACACGTGTGCCATGCGTCGGTGCCATAAGTGAGCACACGCATCATGAACTGGAACATTGGCACACTGTGCTTGAGCCTCCTCCGTGTCATCTGGACCTGCAAAACAAGCATCTATCACAAACAACCTGTCTTTACATTCAACACTGACTAGGTGCTGTCCATTCTTAGAAATAGAACACTTATTGTTCTCAAAACACACTCTGTAGTTCTCAGCAAGAATTGCACTGACAGACAGCAATACGCAGGACAGTCCTGGAACAACAAAAGCCTGGATTGAATCCTGTAAGAAAGAACAAAGCAGTGAGCCAGTCTGCGTGAGTGGGTGTCGAGTCCCATCTGCTAAACAGACAGTTTTCCCAGAAGTTACAGAGGTGCAGTTCTCCAGGAATCCTGCAGATGGCACTAGATGATGCAACGCACCTGAGTCTATGACAAAAGCCAGCACAGCATCCTGTTGACAACTCTTGACTGCAGCCATAGAGGCTGCCAAATGTTTATGTTCAGTGTCTCTGCCAGCTGCCTTCGGCTTGCCTTTCCCACGCTTTGAAGAAGAGCCCTTTATCTGGTTGCTACGGGAGACGGCCTTCGGCTGTTCCTGTGCCTCCACTGGACATTCTCTCACCAGATGGGAGGGGGAGCCACAGCGATAACAGCGACGGGAAACAAAAGCTCTCACAGTCTCCCCTCCGGCTCTTCCTGCATTCCCTGCACCCCCACTCCTGGGAGCACAGCCTGGGCCTGGAGCTTTCCCCCCAGCTCTCTGTCTGCGGGATTCTTCGTCACAGAGGCGGCCCGCCACGTAATCAAGATTTAATTGGTCCGCAGGCATCGCTTCCAAGGTCAGACACAACGTCTCATAGCTCCTGTCCAATGAGCTCAAAAGAATGTACACTTTGAGCTCCTCAGAGAGAGGGACCTGTAGCTGCCGGAGCCTGTTGAACGCTGCCAGCATCTGGGTTATATGCTCCTGCATCGACCCCCCCGGCTGAGGCTTCAACTCAAAAAGGCTCCTAGTAGTATGGATCTTGGCCCCAGCCGTCGTTCTCTGGTGGACACGCTCCAAAACGCCCAGATGGCTTTTGCAGTGGTCAAACCATCAACATGAGGGAGCTGGGATGAATCCAGGGCAAGGATTAAAAGGCCATAAGTCCTCTGGTCCCTTCTCTGTGCTGTAGCTGCCTGCACTCTGGCTGCCTCATCAGCACCAGCAGCTGCTGGGGTAGGTTCAAGTTGAACACAGTCCCACAGGCCTTTCCCTGTGAGCCACGCCCGTACTCTTCTTGACCAGTCCTCCCAATTTTGCTGATTTAATCTTTCAAAGGGGATGTTGAAACTCTCCTGGAGTTCTGCCATCTCCTCCCCCGGTCCCCCCTTGGGGTTTTGGAGTACTCACGCGTACCAACCGGCTCCGAGGATAGGCCTCCGGCGTCCCTTTGCAGCACACAGCTTGCAGCCAGCCTCCCTGCTGTCTCCCAGGCAAAACCTCAAAGCAGGATTTTTTTTCTTCCGGCAGCAAAAACAGCAGCTTCTCAGTTTTCTCAGCTTTTTTAAGCACACAGCACTTCAGGCTTCAAAGCAGCTTCCTCTAATTGCAGTAACTGCCTCCCATAACCTCTGAAGCAGATTGATTTATTGCTCAGATAAGCCTGGCGTCCGGCCCGCTTTGGCTGCACAGCTCTTGCCGGCCAGGCCTCTGCATTCCAAACTCCACATTCCAATGCTCTGAGCAAAAGCAAAGTTCAGCAGCGGTAAGAGAAAGCTTCAAAAAACTCCAGAGCATTCTTCAGTGTGCTTAAATAAAGTCCACTCAGGATCTTAGCAGCTAAAAGCAGTTTTATTTACAGCAGACTATCCATTATCTATCACAGTGAACAGCATCGTGAAAATACGTCCACTCTCCTCAAAAGCGAAAGCAGAGAGAGACAAAGGCTGGAGACTCTCAGAAATGACAAAGAATCTCCCACCTCCCAATTGTAGGCAGGGCGTACACTCTGAGCTGTTTAACCCTGTAAGCTCAGGTTCTCCTCACATCTCGTCCTCTGTCGTCCCCTTCTCCTTGTGCCCTCCATCTTTCCCAACATCAGGGTCTTTTCCAGGGAGTCTTCTCTTCTCATGAGGTGGCCAAAGTCTTGGAGCCTCAGCTTCAGGATCTGTCCTTCCAGTGAGCACTCAGGGCTGATTTCCTTCAGAATGGAGAGGTTTGATCTTCTTGCAGTCCATGGGACTCTCAAGAGTCTCCTCCAGCACCATAATTCAAAAGCATCAATTCTTCGACGATCAGCCTTCTTTATGGTCCAGCTCTCACTTCCATACATCACTACTGGGAAAACCATAGCTTTAACTATACAGACCTTTGTTGGCAAGGCGATGTCTCTGCTTTTTAAGATGCTGTGAAAATACATACTTGAGGCTTAAACCCCCCCCCCCATCATACAAGTTCCACTAGCAGATCCCTACAAGGTGCCCTTAGCTCAATAATGTCTCAGCATATCTAATCTTTCTCTCCAAGCTCCCCAATTGGAGGCATCCATTGCACTGTCTGTCCCATCTGTACTGGATGGCTTTTGAGTACTGCAACTTGAACAAGTTGCGGGGGAGGGCAGGAGAGGGTCTTCTTTGCAACAGCCGCTAAGATGTGGAATTCTCTCCACATAGAGGTGGCCTCTTCGCTATAAAACTTTTCAGAAGTTGCACCTCTTTGACACCTGAGATGTGTGTTTTCAGAGCCTACCTTACCCCTGTGATTGTACTCTGTTGAAGCTGTTTTGCATTTTGAACTTTAAGTTGTTGTAATCCACCCTGGGACCAGCCGCCGCCGCCACCACAACACAACATCTTCGCCTAACTGGACTCAGCACCAAAAGAGCAAACAAATCATGCCACTCCCAAATGCTAATCTAATTCATCCCAACAGTTTGAAGTTGGCAAAAAAAGAGAAGGGAACCTGTGGCCTGTCAAGGAATTGCCTTTCAAATATTCTTATTCAGCCCCTCTTAACAGGTAATAATAATAGTATTCTAATAATTTATTATTTATACCCCGCCCATCTGGCTGGGTTTCCCCAGCTACTCTGGACGGGTTCCAGCAGAATATTAAAATACAATGATTTGTCCAATATTAAAAACATCCCTAAACAAAAGTGACTAGCAAAACCCCACAATGCAAACTGGAGGGAGGGAAGGCATAGCAAGATGGGGGAGCTTGAGGGGAAGCAGAAGGCTGATAATACCATGCTTTGAACATCTTCCCATTGGCCGTCAGGCCCTGATGTGGTGGCCTCCTTAACCCTCTCCTTCTGAAAATCAATTACCCAAGTTTTCTTTTGGGGAGGGGTGAGGGGTGAGGAGCATGCATGATATTGAAAGTCAAAGTCATAGCTGTCAACTTTTCCCTTTTCTTGCGAGGAATCCTATTCAGAATAAGGGAATTTCCCTTTAAAAAAGGGAAACGTTGACAGCTATGGTCAAAGTACACAGTGCAGCACATCTCCGCGTATGCTTATTGACTCTCCCAAAGAACACTAAAAGTGCTGATTGTACTAACTCGGTTGTCCTCTTCAGTTCATTCTGTTTGTTTTAGTGACAGACCACAAAAGCTACAAATTGGATAGTGTTCAGGTACTGCACTGTACTTGGTGTCCTCTCTCTGGTTCACCTTGTGTTCTTGTGCTGCGATGCAAAAATAGCTCTCCTTTGATGCAAAGTGCCAAGAATTTCTGCCACAGCACATTAGGAGCATCAGTGCAAGATGGGTGGGTAATAAACAACAAAATTATTATTATCATTATCACAGAGGCTTATAAATAGTAAAAGATTCAGCCGTTGCAATAACATAAAACCTTGGTAGCATAAAACTTCTCCCTGTCCTCTTTGAGGTCCCAGCCATGAAAATCTACTACTGCATTGCTGTCCTTTCTGAGATGTTCTTTGTTTCTCAAGGTATTTTAATTTTTATTATTTATTGAATTTATTTACTGCCCTATACCCAGAGGTCTCAGGGAAGTTCACAGAATAAAATCAAAATATAGAACCACAAAATACCTAATCAAAATAAAAACAACAGCCCAATAACCCCTACCCCCCCAAAAAAAACCCACCACATTTTTAAAGGGCATAGGATGTCAAGGTATGCATACCATGATGTGTTGCAATTCAGCTGTTTCATGTAACAGTTTCCCTTGGAAGTTATTTTGCTTTAGGGTGGCCAGGTTGAAACGCCACCTCCCCTATTGGTCTTTTAATATTGCTATTTTGGATGTGAGAGTTCTGTCCAGTTATCTGCAAGACAGAGTTGTTCCGCCTGGCCTTTGGCTTGGAATCAACTTGATCCCCATCCCCTCTTTCCTTTTTCCTTTCTCCTTCTGTGATGGAACTCCTATTTGGGGACTTCCCTGGCTTTTTTCTGGCCCACATAGGACCAGTCTGGATAGTTGGCCTTGGTGAAGATTTGAAGTTTTCATCCCCCAAAAGTTTTTGATTTGAGTTTCTACTGAAATGAGGCTGCATTTTAATGTTGTATTTTAATCTTGTTTTTAAATTGTATTTTAATCAATTGTTTTTATACCTGGTGTTAGCCACCCTGAGCCTGGTCTTGGCTGGGGAGGGTGGTGTATAAATAAAATTTATTACTACTACTACTACTATTTTGCATAGAGAGTGGGCTGTTTGTTCTTTGCAGAATGAAATTGGATGTTGGTTGTCATTGTTGTTGCTGCTGCTTTTTGTGTGTATGTGTATGGAAGAGGGAGAGGGGGAGGGAAAAGGGGAGAGACACCATGCTCTTGCTTCTTGATCTCTCGTTGGCATTTGATACATACGACCATAGAACCTTCCTAGACCAGGTCTGAGGAACGGGAATATGGGAGACTGTATTATAGTGGTTCAAGGAGAAACCTTCACTTTATTTGGAGCCTGCTGAAAACATTCTTGTTTGGATAAATCTACCTGGATGCTTAGAAAGTTGAGGTGTTTTAGCATTTTAACTTCTGTATGTTTTAAAATATGGTTGTAAATTCTGTCCATAAGTGACTGTGGAGGCCTATTCTGGATCCACACATTCTTCTACTGTGGCGACATAGGTTTCCAGCTGGGAATTGATCACAGTGAGAGTTTGCCAAACATGCCTTCCTCTTAGCTTGTTTCTCCTTTTGTCCTGAGTTTGTGCTTCATTAAAGTCCACGATGCCTTTGGTAGAAGCCAGTCTCCAATTGAAGTGCTCACAGGCCAGTGATTCCCAGTTGTGGGTGTTTATATTACTTTTTTTTTTTAGATTTTCCCTGAGAGTGTCTTTAAACCTCTTTTGTTGTCCACCAGAATTACACTTACCATTCTTAAGTTGGGAATAGAGTAGTTGCTTTGGAAGACGATAATCAGGCATCTGAACCACATGACCAATCCAACAAAGTTGATGTTGAAGAAACATTGCTTCGACACTAGTGATATTTGCTTCTTTCAGTACACTGGTGTTAGTTTGTCTGTCATCCCAAGTGACATGTAAAAAATTTCAGAGACGGAATCTTTTGAGGAGTTGGAGATTGTGTTTGCAGCTTAATTCATATATGGAAGTTATTTTGTGTGTGCAAAGGTGAATTTGTGTGTACCTCAAGTCTTCTCTTTTACAAAGGTCTTGCATGGGAGGGGGTGTTTTTCCTAGAAATGAATATAGTTGTTGTTTAGTTGTTTAGTTCCGACTCTTCATGACCCCATGGACCAGAGCACACCAGGCACTCCTGTCTTCCACTGCCTCCCGCAGTTTGGTCAAACTCATGTTGGTAGCTTCGAGAACACTGTCCAACCATCTCGTCCTCTGTTGTCCCCTTCTCCTTGTGCCCTCAATCTTTCCCAACATCAGGGTCTTTTCCAGGGAGTCTTCTTTTCTCATGAGGTGGCCAAAGTATTGGATCCTCAGCTTCAGGATCTGCCCTTCCAGTGAGCACTCAGGGCTGATTTCCTTCAGAATGGATAGGTTTGATCTTCTTGTAGTCCATGGGACTCTCAAGAATCTCCTCCAGCACCATAATTCAAAAACATTGATTCTTCGCTGATCAGCTTTCTTTATGGTCCAGCTCTCACTTCCAAAGATATTAAAAAGGTGCACCCATGAATGAGTGGCTTACAATGCCTTTTCTCTTTCTGTTTGCAGGTCAAACCGGTTTTATAGAAACTCGTGAAGCGTGCGAAGCCGCTGAAGGTTGGTGCCAGGAAGGCCCATGCAGTATCGGACCCATGGAAATTGGAAAGTGTGACACATGGATCTTCTGCTGTTCAGGGTAAAGTTTCCCAGTTTGTTTGTTTGTTTTTTAAATCCGCTCTGTCCCAATTAAACATGTGTTTGCATTTTCGAATTTTCAAATTTACATATACAGTACACTGGAACATCACAGGCCCCAGTAGTTTTGCTTCTGGAATACAGTGGTACTTCTGGATGTGAACGGGATCTGTTCCGGAGCCCCGTTTGCATCCTGAATAGAATGTAAGATGCGACTGCATGTTTGCGCATGTGCCGGTCACATTTTGCCGCTTCTGTGCATGAGCGTGATGTAATTTTGAGTGTCTGCGCATGCGCGAGTGGCAAAAGACGGAAGTAACACACTCCTTTACTTCCGGGTTGCCGCGGAGCGTAACTTGAAAACGCTCAACCTGAAGCACATTCAACCCGAGGTATGACTGTACACAGTTTGTTTTCTTCATAAGGAGCTGGTACCTGTTCGTTGGTGAAAACTAGAGAATGGCTCTGAAACCTGAGTACAGTGGTACCTCGGGTTAAGAACTTAATTCATTCTGGAGGTCCGTTCTTAACCTGAACTGTTCTTAACCTGAGGTACCACTTTAGCTAATGGGGCCTCCCGCTGCCACTGCCGTGCGATTTCTGTTCTCATCCTGAAGCAAAGTTCTTAACCCCAGGTACTATTTCTGGGTTAGCAGAGTCTGTAACCTGAAGCGTCTGTAACCTGAAGCATCTGTGACCCGAGATACCACTGTACAACAATGTGAAGCAGAAGAGTAACTTTTTTGGGGGAGTGCTTTGTCATACACAGACACTGAAAAATGGCGATTTGAAAATGCAAATACATGTTTAATTGGGGCAGAGTGCTGACAGAAAATCTGAAGGGGGATTTTGCTTAGTTGGGGTTCAATTCGGCAGCAGAGGAGGCTCTCAGGTAATGCAACCGGTGTGGTCACGCTGGGCACAGAGGTCATGGAGTGCCACAGCATACACTACCACTAATGCATCCAATAGAAGGTGAGAGTTGTGGGGGGTTCCCAGTTTTTGGCATCACACAGAGTGCCACTGAAATTTGATATGTCAAGGTCTTTTACTGCCTGCAGGTAAGAATGAGTTTTCTCAAGGCTCAGCTCTGGAACAATGAGGAAATCCCCCAGACCCATGAAAATTAATCAGTGCACATTACAGCCAAAAGATGGTTCAAGGAAAAGTTTGAGAGGCATCCATACTGCCTTCCCAGTCTCTTCTTCACTTCCTGGGTTATTGTTTTGGGGAAGAGAGGAGGCTGAAGGAGATAATGACATTCACCAGCTTGTGTTATGGTGATATTTGTAAGTTCTTTCATGCAGAAGTACTATTTTTGTGCTTGAAAATCTGCATGAATATTCTCCGGTAGACTGTGCTTTCTGTTTCTTGCAAATGCCGTGCGAGGTATGTCCCTGAAAATAAAAATCTGCTATCTTCCTATAGGAACTACGGAAACTGAAGTTGGCACCTCATCAACTATTATGTTCTCATGTGCATGATGATCCACTACTCTTTAGCCTTCAGAATATGTTACCATGGGACTGAGATCCTACATTGTTGATTGCAGGATTTGTTACACATCTTTGGAAAACCAGTGCATAATGTGTCAAATAAAGGAGATGATGTACCACTAAAAATTCCTGTGTGTGCATTCTGTTAAATGTGCATATTGTCTATAAGGAAAGTGGTTTTACTTTCAGTTCAGTGAGCTACTGGACTATGAAGTGATCTGCTGGCAGCCCTGCCAGAGAAAGAAAACCTTTCCAATTTTGGGAACACCTTTGATGCTCCATCTTGTATTCACCTTTGCCTGCTTCACAACTTTTACAGGCACAGAAGGGAGCCAATGGATAGTGCAGAGGCACTGCAGAGACATAACTAATCAACTCAGTGAGTGGACTTTAAATAAGTATTCTCCACCCCCCCAAAAAATCAATTCACACACATTTTTACAATGCAGTTTCAAATCACGGTGTATTTATTTCTGTGGTCTATATAATGGGAGATTCAGGGTATGTATTTCTATTGATGTTCCCCTTTGATAAAGAGATTGTATATTAAGCAGAAGATGAACCCCAAACTTAGTACTGCCTGCAAAAGAAAGAAAGAAATGAGTCACTGAATCGCTCGTGCAACAAAGTGTAATTTAACAACAAATTCATAGCACTGCTGATGCCCACCTTTAGAATTTTTCTCATTGATGCAATACTGCTTTTGGAGATCAAATAACAAAAAAAGTAATCAAAAGCTAAAGGTGCTGAAGAAATTGCATGCTTGTCCCCACCATAAGTTAGAAAGAGAACCCTGAAGGCAGAGGGAGGCAACAAGATGTCTTCAAAGACATCTGGTGAACTCATGTTTGCAACCAACTATACAAAGTCCTGCCCTGTGGCAAATGATCAGCAAGTTTCTCCTCCAGGAGAGAATGGCGAAATGGCTGTCGTCTCTTGCCCAGGATTCCAGCCTGGTAAGAAGATCGTGATTATATTGTTAGAATTCCTGCTCCATGATTGCAGTCATGGGGTTGTTGTCTTTCACATGACGGTGTATGTTTTGACTCCACAGAATGGGAAGTGACAGAGACAGGGTGTTTGTGTTACTGTGTTCAGTGAAGTGGGATTATTGTCCTTTGTTCATTCGCTTTGCTGTCTGATGCTAGAGAGATAGGGAGCCATGTTGCAGTGCTCTGTGTGTGTTTATATGTAAATAAAGTAGATTAGCAAAAATGCTGAGTTGCTCAGGTCTGTTACGCAAGCTGCGCAAACTCTGAGGCTCCCTAAGTGTGCCGATGTCTGTTGGCATCGCTCGCTGTGATGTTCAGGCTGAAGAAAGCTTTTGAAGCTCCTGAACAATCGACCAGGAGGGAGGGAACATGCCAGTCAGGCATGTGTCTCTACCAGGGTCCTACTCGAGTGTAGGGCGACCTCCTGACACATATCACTTGCCATCAGACTGAGGGACTCATATATATAATGTCCAGTAGCACCTTAGAGACCAACTAAGTTTGTTCTTGGTATAAGCTTTCATGTGCATGAACACTTCTTCAGATACTCTTTCTCAGAACTGTTCATCTTCTGCTACTTGCTCAAAGATGAGGAGTCTTTTCTTTAAAAAGAAACAAGATGAAGGGACATGGGGTTGCAGCTGTTGTATATTCAGCATTTGTGCCTTACATCAAACATTCAGAGAATTCTGTTGAAGCATTTTGTGGGGATGTTTAGGATAATAGATAAGGATACATTTGTTAAGTGTTATCCTTCCTTCACTCACGCTAGGGTCCTCTCTTAAAGGGTTATATAATGGGTGTCACTGGCCATGCACTGTAAGGTTGTCAGTGAACTACCCTGCGTGCAGGGCTATGGGCTTGGCTGCCTGCTACATTTACGTCTCACAGAGCACCCCCATGTCCCATTTATCCTGATGTTCCCCAGTTCCCCCACTTGGGGGAGCTGGGAGGGATACATGCCCAAGGCCTAAGCCAAGGTCTTCCTACATTCGGAAGTCTAATAAAGTTGTGGCCCAATTTTTAATTCCATAATGTTGTCAGAATCTTTTCTTATGATCCCTGGGGGCTGGGGCTGTCACGCCTGGTCAAGCAATCCCCTGAGCCTGAGCTCAGTCAGAGCAAGTAGCCTATCAAGCAGACAGAGGAAAAGGCAGCCAGCTATTTCCCTGTTCCAGGTTGTCAACGTGCTCATTGAGCCATATATGGCTGTGTCTTGCCCTGCTTTCTGTCTCTGTGTTTGGGGCAAATAATGGCAACCACATTTAAGGTTGGCTTAAGGGAATTTTGCCTACCTTAAGCAGCACGGACTTCCTCTGCTACACACCCCAATTTTCTTGTAATTATCAAGACAATGCCACACCAGGCAATGGGCCCCATTTATCTTGCATGAAATCATGTGATTTATCAAGCTAAAAGAAAGAAAGGAAAAATCGTGATCAAAACAGGCTCAAGTCAGGAAATGCTAGCCTTGCTAACTGCCTAGCTGTCTTCTGTTTAGCTCAACTGCTGATATATGACAAAACATATGATATATATTACTTGATTGTAATAACCTCGAACCAGTTTAGAAGAAAAGAAGAAGCAGCTTTGCATCAAGATTATCAATAAAAGTAAGAGAAAACAAGTTAACCTAAAATGTATCAGTCAGATTGTTTCCCAGTTCTGCAGATACAAGATGAACTTTGTTGCTGGTGCACGCCTATAACATATAGAATGACTGAATAATTGAATATGAGATCAGAGCATATTGATAGTCTATATCTTTGAGATCACAGTCCATACCTAAGGGAAAGTTTGTCATCCTTCTAATCTTATGTTCAGTTTGTCATGTTTCTGCATGTTTGGGATACTTTTTTAAAAAAAACAAAGTAGTCAACAAAATTCACTAATGTTTTTGAGGTTAGCGGGAACTAACGTTTCTCCTAATATGCACATATATTGAATTAATTTTGCCCAATATTCCAATTTTTGCAAAACATTTTCGTATGTTATTTCCCCCGATGCATGCATTATAATGCAGACTTTCCAATAATGTGTAGTTTGGGGGTTGAAAGCACAAAGTCAACAAAAAGTTAAGAAACCCAACACAAAGCTAAGAAAGCCGAATTTCGTCATTTAGCCACATTTCAGATCACCTACTGTAGATGATGATATTGTCAGTGCTTTTCTTCTGGAGGGACCCAGGGGTATGCATACCCCTAAACATTTTGTAAGTTTGGCCTCATTGAGGGGCAGTATTTCAATATGAGTAGGAAAATGAGAGTACCCCTAAACATTTTTTTAAAGAAAAAAGCACTAAATATTGTTATAAACTTTGCATGATTGTGCTCAAAGATGGCCCAGCCATTAGGCAGGGTGAAGCTGCTGCTTCAGGCATCAGAACACCCTCCCCACCTCCAGGTCGCATGCCAATGGGTGCCCAGCCTGCCCCACCTCTGGCTTCAGTAGTGGAGAAGTGTGGCTGACATTGGCACCAATTTTGGGCAAGATCACATCCATTATAGGCCAAATTTCACGTGTGTTGTCATTTCTTTGTCAGTGGTGGGTGTGGCAGGGCATGTGGTGGTAGTGGCAACAGCAGTGGCAGGGCAAAGCAGCACTTCCTGTTTCGCCTTAAGCAGCAAAACCTGATGTGCTACCCCTTTTTGGTACTTTACATGTGAATTTATGCATCCAGCACAGTTGACCTGCCAGACTTACCTGCTTTACTTTCACATATGTTGTATTTGCCATCTGAAAGGACAAGCATTTCCCTTCCCAGAGTACAGGAGCTCTGCATGAACTCACACCACTCTCAAATGCAGAGCCATCAACCACAACTCCTTGGAACATGAACATGCTTAGCTTGATGGCCCTGCAAGGATCATTGTGGCAAATTCTGCTTACCTTTTACAACACATCTTCCCTTCAGAACATGATCCAAGGTTCAGCGCATACAATGGACAGTGTTTTTGACAGTCAGTATTCTTAATATATAAACATGAGATCTCATCAAGGTCCCTTAGAGCAGAAAGCCCTAAAGAAGAAAAGAAAGAAAGAAAGAAAGAAAGAAAGAAAGAAAGAAAGAAAGAAAGAAAGAAAGAGATGAATATGAGAGCTGAGATTTCAGTATTTCCCAAAAGTTTCCAAATCTTCTTAGCATCATAATCCATATGCAACACATGACCTGGTTCCTCATTTGATGCCAGATAGAGCTTGAAAAATAGCACAGCAGACAGCAGTTTTATCAGCTGTAAGCTTTCTGCATCATTTTACCAATCAACGTTATCGTCACCGACACCATCATCATTTAATACCTGGTCTTTTCCATATAGATTCAGTGTTGGAAAAGACCATCTCTATAGAAAAGAATGTAAGTTGTTTTTATATGCAATAACAGCAGCAAGAATATTATTGGCACAAAAATGGAAGCAAGAAGAATTACCGACGAAAGAAGAATGGAGGATGAAATTAATGGACTATGCAGAACTAGATAAACTAACAGGAAGGTTTCGAAATCTGTGGGACCAGAAATTCACAGAAGACTGGCGTAAATTTGCAGACTATTTGAAAAGTAATTGTGATGATCAGACTACGTTTGTAGGTTTGCAAGAAGTTTTGTGAGGAGAATTATTGGAACTATTGCAAAAATGGATAAAGGGGAGGATGGTTAGTTATGATAATTAAAGGCAATATGAACTTAAGAAATGCATAAGAAGTGGCTAAAACGGTGGATCATCAGAGGTGCTGATGGAAGTCCCAAAAAAGGAAGAAAAAAAGATTGTATAAGTGGTGAAATTTTGTGGTATGTACTATAATTTATATGTTAAAATTAATAATAAATATTATTAAAAAAGAAGAGGAAAAGGCCACCTCTTACTGCAGAATCTCCATCAGTGTATAAACACGCACTTGGCTGACAGAAGGTGAGATTAGGAATGGAAGAGAAATGTGCTTAATACACATTTCAATACAAATCAATTTATGTATGCTGTTTCCCAATCTCAACAGCCTAGGAAGGTGGTTGGCCAGTGGAGTGGTGGTGATGCAACAGCAGTGAATGGGAAAGAGCAACTTTAGCATACCACAACAGAAGGCTTCAACACCTTCCCTTTCCCCTGGACTATGTAAAATTTTCCACCCACATTCCGATATAGACAAAATCTTCACACCAAATGCACCCTCTGGATGAGATTGCAAAGGGTTAAATATGTGCTAGCATTACTACCAATCCTCCTCATCACCACTATTATACCATCTCCTTTATAAATTGTTTCCCTTAAAACATCTCCAGGTGATTTAAGATTAAAAGCACATACAAAAATAATCTTAAATCCAGTACAAATGTAGACTGGGATAAAAATATCCACTTAAGAGAGTTATGGAAAAAGGAAACACAGATTGCAATATAGTTGATGCCTAAGGTAAAAATATGCTTTTATATGCATTTTGGTACTCTCTTTTTTTAGCTAAGAACTGCATTGCAATGTTCAGAGAAATGCAAAATCTAAAGGATAAAATTAGTTCAGGAGGTATAGATCAGGTCAATTCATGTCAGAATCTTCAACAAATGATTTTTCTTAGCATCTCTAAAATAGTTGTGATAAATGGCAAAGGGAGTGGTTGGCTGGCAGGTTGTCTAGAAAACAAGTGTTTTCTGTTGGGTCTCCGGCTTCAGCTAGCTTGCTATGCAAACATTCTAGAGAGATGCCTTGCCCTGCTAATTAATAAGGTGAATACATATATATATAAAACATACCTGGAGAAGTCAACAGTGTCCGTAAAAGAAAAAGAGGAATAACCCAAAAGACTTTCATGGTTGTTTTACTGAGAATTCAACCACTGTGGCAAACAGGGTTATTTGCTGAATCTAATCAAAAATTAAATAAAATACTTGCTATCTTCCTTCTTTGTTTCTTCTGGGGGAGGGGGAATGCCTAGACACAAATAAATGCTGTGTGTGTGTGTGTGTGTGTGTGTGTGTGTGTGTTTGGTTAGGGTAGAGAGAATTGTTCAGAAACTGTCTTTGTGGGACTTCAGACAGAGATTTTAATGGCACACAGTGGAAAGCAATGACGGACAGACAGCAAGGATAATATTGAGTACAGATTATTCGCTTGGACAACTTTTGTCACAGGACGTTCAACAGTGAGACGGAATGAGGTGGGTAGTGCCTGATGTTGGACTTCATGGACATCTTTGATGCCTACAGAACGTTCAAAAATACAAAATGTATGCTCCGTCAGGACAGCTGCAAACAAGTTATCCCAAAATAGGTCTCTGTGAATTCAGGGGAGGGGGCCAATCCCTACCGAGTGCTTTTCATCTCAGAGGCTCATGTAAACACATGGAACACAGCCATGTTATTGGGACATAGAGCATATGAAACTTGTGTTTTATCTCAACAAATAGCTCTCCCTCCCCCAAATGCCTATAGCACATGTGAACATAAGAATGGCTCTGTTGGATGAGGCTAGTGGGCCATCTAGTCAGGTATCCTGTTCTCCCTGTGGCTAACCAGGTGTCTATAGGAAGCTCACAAGCAGTGGCGTAGAATGGGGAGTGGGCACAGGAGCAGTAGCCTTGAGCGCAAAATTGTGAGGGGCACAAAATTCCAACACCCGGTACTGCCTCAATACAGACGTGTGCTTCTTTTGCTGGGCTCTGTTGAAAATGGCTTCTCTATGCAAACCAGGAAGTGGCCTTTCCAGACAATGGAATAATTCTTCTCATTTCTGTAGCTGTGATTTCTTGGGTGAAGCGGGTGCCGTTAGGCAGTTGAATATGTATGCACACTCTGTCCATTTCTCTCTCTCTCATTCCTACTCCCTGTGGCCCTGGACACTTGCAACCCATGCTATACCACTGCTCAAAAGCAGGGATACAGGGAAATGTTGTAGGGGTAGTTTAGCTGCTGGTGTTTGATGCTGGAGGAAGATGTTTAGCCATAGCCAGGTGATGTGTTCCATATCTGATCCGTTGTTAGTACCATCTCAAGGGGGGGGTCCCATTTTTATTTTGATCATTGTCCTTTATCGTTTTAAAGCTTTGCAGCTGCACTCACAAAACAAGTTCCAGGACTTTATTGAGACACAATAAAATATACTCATCCCATACATAGGAAGAAGAGGAAGAGTTTGGATTTGATATCCCTCTTTATCACTACCCGAAGGAGTCTCAAAGTGGCTAACATTCTCCTTTCCCTTCCTCCCCCACAACAAACACTCTGCGAGGTGAGTGGGGCTGAGAGACTTCAGAGAAGTGTGACTAGCCCAAGGTCACCCAGCAGCTGCATGTGGAGGAGCGGAGACGTGAACCCGGTTCCCCAGATTACGAATCTACCACTCTTAACAACTACACCACACATAGGGTGGACTATTCTTTTCTTGCAAGCTTTCTTCTTCTTTGCAATGGTAATTTCTAGATAGTATTGTGCATGGGTGCATTCAACACTGCTGACCTGCAAAATCAAGTGGTGATATGTGTTCCGTATCTCCAAACATCTAAATAATGTCACTTTAGATAACCACCCAATGAAGTAGATGCACAAACTTTTCAGCAAAGCAATTTCACATCAAAATCGTTTATTGGTTGATTGATTGTGTCAGTAATGAAATGGATAACTGAAGATCTGAATTCCTGGTGGCAAGATTCCTTGGGAGTCCAAGCAAATTGATGTAGAGTACATGAATCAGAGAAGGCTCTAGACACACACACACACACACACCTCGAGATATTCAGGTCTCCATTTGCTTCAAAATATGATTTGACCAAATGGGACAAATTCTTCTAAGCCATAGCATGGCTGAGTCTCATCTTTGCTGTTTGTTTTACACTATTTTGATCCCAGGTGGTTTGCTGTCTCTTTTATTCTTCATCAAAACCTGCTGATGTCACCCATAATTCTCTTTATTGAGACTTTTCCGACTTCAGCACTGGAGTCCTAATAAACTCTGCTGTCGACTGGTTACACCCGCAGCATTCTGGTCACCCTATTAAAGAATATAATGGGTTAGGTGAGGCTGGCCAGGAGGGGAAATTTGACTCATTTTCCATTTAAAGGTATAATGATCCAATCCACACTTTCTGAAGTGACGTAAGAAATGAAACACCACCTTTGCTTGAATTTTTTTGAATTTTCTGATGCAGTTTTTCAGCCAAATATGGTTTACAAAAATGTATGTATTGGAGAAAAGTGTGCATGAATATGCATATTTTAGTGAAAATAGCATGCATATTAGGAGAAACTGCTTGCAAAAATGTATGCTTTAGGCAAAGATGCATATAAAATGTGTTTACTAGAAAAGATTTGCACTAAAATGTTGAAGAATCTGTCTATAACGGCTTCTCTTCGTTTCTGGTTTTCCCCATCTTAAATTCAGGTCACCTCATTCCTACATCCATTTGTAATGTCTCCCCCTCTCAATATATGTTCTTATTTTTATTTTGGTATTTGCATTTGTCTGATATACATATTTTTGCAAGCAATTTTTCCTATTGCAATGTAGGAAATCCATGTATCATGGATTCTTTAGTTGAGATTCCTGCATTGCAGGGAATTGGGCTAGAAAATGGTTGAAAATGTATATTGAAGCAAATACTTTGTCGCAAAATACACCAGAGATGGGGAACCCTCAGGCCCAGGATCCAAATGCAGCCCTCTAGGAATAATAATCTGTTCCATCATCCTTTGCCTCTGATCATACCCATGTTTGCTTCTGGACTCCATTGGCTAGTAGCCCCTGGAAGTTTGTCCAGAAAGGAAAACAGCCAGCCCTTTGACTAGAACTAGGTTCACCACCATAAACTATCTAAATAAAGTACATTTTATGCTAAAATACACATCGTTGAATGCACTTTGGTGCATTTTTTTGAATCAATAAATCCATAATAAAATTCAGAGGAGTGGAAAATCTGGAGAGAAAAAATATCACTATAATTGCATTCCAATCTGTGAGAAGCAAATAAAAACTTTTCACTTAAAAAATGCAAAATTAAGGAAATTATTCTGTGCCATAGTAATCAGAATTAGGAAACAGTACAATCTAGGACTCAGCACTCAGGGCTGATTTCCTTAAGAATGAATAGGTTTGATCTTCTTGCAGTCCATGGGACTCTCAAGAGTCTCCTCCAGCACCATAATTCAAAAGCATCCATTCTCCGGCGATCAGCCTTATTTATGGTCCAGCTCTCACTTGGCTGCATCTTAAAAAGCAGAGACATCACTTTGCCAACAAAGGTCCGTATAGTTAAAGCTATAGTTATGGTTTCCCCAGTAGAGATGTATGGAAGTGATAGATGGACCATAAAGAAGACTGATCGTCAAAGAATGGATGCTTTTGAATTATGGTGCTGGAGGAGACTCTTGAGAGTCCCATGGACTGCAAGAAGATCAAACCTATTCATTCTTAAGGAAATCAGCCCTGAGTGCTCACTGGAAGGACAGATCCTGAAGCTGAGGCTCCAATACTTTGGCCACCTCATTGGAAAAGACCCTGGTTTGGGAAGGCTTGAGGGCACAAGGAGAAGGGGACGACAGAGGACGAGATGGTGGGACAGTGTTCTTGAAGCTACTAACATGAGTTTGACCAAACTGCGGGAGGCAGTGGAAGACAGGAGTGCCTGGCGTGCTCTGGTCCATGAGGTCACAAAGAGTCGGGCACGACTAAATGACTAAACAACAATCTAGAAAGAGCCCTGCTGGATGAGTAGACACTTGATAACCTTACCCTCCATGAATTTGTCTATGCCATCTGTGTTGGTGGCCACCACTGCCTCTCCTGGCAATGTACTTAGATGGGAGTTGGAAAGGATAGTTATGAACATTTCTCTGGACTTACCCTGGAGAGATTGGCCTACTTTCCTGGAATGGACTTCACACAGCATGGGCTTCCTCTGCCACATATTCCAAACTGAAAGTGCTTGAGAGGGCAGTACCACATTGAGCAAAAACCTTTACCAAATCCACACAGCCACATATTTGTTACAATGCTGAAGAAAGGAAGGAAGGAAGGAAGGAAGGAAGGAAGGAAGGAAGGAAGGAAGGGAAAGTCAGAATGATGGCCTGTGTGAGTTATATTATCCATGAACATATCAAGGGGGAAATAGGCTGTTGAAAATATTCTTGGGCATTAAACTCTTGTTAATAATAATAATAATAATAATAATAATAATAATAATAATAAATAACAATTTATTATTTATACCCCACACATCTGGCCGGGTCTCCCCAGCCATTCTGGGTAGGTTCCAACAAGATATTCAAAACACAATAAAACATCTATTGACTCATTACGTTGAGCAGAATGTGTATGATAACTGGCCAGACGAAGGGGGTGGCAAATACTCCAAGCAAAAACACCTGAGAATTATAAGCTTCAAGCCTGACAATCATTCAGGAGTGGAGGCCAGAGGCATGACTGTAACGCTGCCCTTGAACATTCCAAGTACAAAAGTGTAGGGCTCTGCCTAGCCCCGCTTCCTTGGTTCCAGTCCTGAATCAAATTGGGAGTCAGGTTAATGCTTAATTAGGGCTTTTAAAAGCTGCTGGACTATGCAGATTCATGGAGGAGAGGACTGTCAAAGGCTCCTAGCCATAAAGGCTGTGCTCTGCCTGCAAAGTTGGAGGAGGAAGCAATGCTTCTGGTTTCTGGAAATCACTCCTGCAGCCGCATAGGAAGGGGCATGCGGTGGTTGAGGGAGTTATTTTTTTAAAAAACCACATAATCTGGCCATTTTGTCACCCCCTCAGTGATGACACCTGGGGCGGCCTGCACCCACCGCACCCCCCTTCCTATGCCACTGGGGTGAAGACACTCCCAGATCACTGTGTCAGGCAGCCCAGTATGGTCTGGGGCAGTTAGTGTCAGGAGCTTGTCCTACACTTGAGTAAGACCCTGGCAGAGACACATGCCCGACTGGCATGTTCTCTCCCTCCTGGTCAATCATTCAGGAGCTTCATTAGCTTTCTTCAGCCTGGACATCACAGCGACTGATGCCAACAGGCACCGGCGCACTTAGGGATCCGCAGAGTTTGCGCAGCTTGCGTAACAGACCTCAGCAACTCAGCATTTTGGCTAATCTACACACGGAGCACTGCAACATGGCTCCCTCTCTCTCTAGCATCAGACAGCAAAGAGAAAGAACAAAGGACAATAGTCCCACTTCACGGAACACAGTAACACAAACACCCTGTCTCTGTCACTTCCCATTCTGTGGAGTCAAAACATACACCATCATGTGAAAGACAACAACCCCATGACTGCAATCACGGAGGAGGAATTCTAACGGTCAGGGAATCATGAAGGAAGGCTGCAGGAGTCTGTTTCACCAGTCTGTTCCCTTCAGGGAATGTGCTAGGGAAGCAGATCCCAGGAAGATTGGAATCCCCTTGCAAACCAGCACCCTGCAGGCTCAAACCCTCCACTCACCAGCTCGTGAATGCACTTGCAAAGCAACACTCTGCAGGTTTAGACACATGCAGACATGGTGTGGGGAGGCGATTCGGCCTAGAAAGTATTGCAGGCTGATTGCATCAGCCAGTTGCATCAGCTAGCAAACTCAAGCCTGTAGACTCACTATCTCACACAGCATTCTGTGAATCCCGACAGTGTTTGCCCACCGCCTCAGTCACCCTACAGCTGAGGGGGAGGCGGTGGAGAGGCTCCATGCAGCGTGCCCTGCCTTGGCTCACCCTGCCCCCATGGGCAGTTTACTGCGCCACCATGAACGGCTCGTTCCACCCCCGGCTGCAGGGCTTGTGTGCAGGGCACCCAAGCGGCTAGCTATGCCACTGCTTCACTCAATTTGGCTGAAACCCAAATCTGCCCGATTCTCTCCAGACCAAATCTAGGACAGATCCCTATAAAAGGGGAGTGTTTTAAAACTTGGGGGCAGGTGAGATTGGACCGACAATGGCCACAAATGTTATATAGACCCACAAACACCAATCACTCTCCAAATCTTAGAGCCGATTTTTTTCCCTACAGGGGAAAAATTAAAGAGTTCAGCTATGTTCAAAAAGGCACTCATCACAGGGAAGCACGACATGGACATAGCTGGAAATATATGGCTGTTAAAAAGAATAGTGGCAAGCATTTCCAAACCTGTAAGAATAATATTGAAGAGTTGTCTACCTTGTGCAGCAAACTGCACGTTTGCCGCATGGTGCAGTAGTCCTAGAAAGAAAAGGGCAGGTATGCTTGGAGCACAATCCTTTGTCGAGCCAACACATGAGTAGGTCACGTGAGAGGTTTGGATCAAATGGGTTATCTATGCAAGTTGCCAATGCAGAAAGAGAGAGGGAGAGAGGAAAGGAGAAGAAGAAGTTGTTAATGACCATGTAAAAAATAATGATGTGGTGATTGTAATTTGGGATTTCATCATTTGGGATTTCGTCCTTACAAAACAGCGCTACATTAATCAACATTTCACACATCAAAGATGACCAGCAATATTCAGTTTCATTCAGGGCTCCATGGTAACTCAGCCCAGCAGGAACCTCAGTTCAAGCAGCCAGACATTTCAGGTGCTGTATGGGCTCCTCCTATCCCTCCCCCCTGCTGACATGCAATATCATATTTTAAGGGGGAATATGCAATGTATCTTAGAATGTATGCATGCAGCACACACCAGGGTTTTGCAACATAGGAGGTTAACAAGGAAGTACCCCCCCACCAAACTTCTATATACTTCTGGGCGATTCTTATTGGCTTGCTGGGAGTGGCATGGGCCATATTTTTGGTTTGGCATTTAGTATCCTCATGAGAGGAAGTACATAAGTGTTAGGTGCATTGAGGCATTATTGAGGAGCATGCAGGACAAAAAAGTTAAGTGTGGCTAAGCCCTAAGACAGCAGCTATTAACATGCCCAGGGGAACGAAAGGTCGCTTCCGTCTCAGAATAAGACAAAACGCTTTCCAAATATGGCATGCAGATGCCGTATTTCTTATATTCATAAATATGGCCTTTCAACCGTTACTTTGCATCATGAATCTTCCTTGCAGGTGTGGAGGCAAATGGCAACCTGCTACACCAATATTGCTAGACAACTGGATTAATTGACCTTAATACTTTATTGTTGTTGGCACCCGTCTGTCTCAAGAGGCAATGAAATACGCCTCTGGGGGTGAAGACAAACCACTGGAGAATCACAGCGCCTGCTGTGGCTGCAGAAACTGGTAACTTGTAACTGTTGCCTCCCTCTTTTACTTATTTCAGCCATATTAACATTAATAACTACAAAAAGAAACAGAAGCACACACCTTACCTTCAGCAGCCAGATTCATCCATGAAAGTGCAAATATGAGAAGTCGAAAGACTCCCATGGGCCCAACACTCACGGGGCACAGTGGCCACCAATGGCCATCGTCCTGCAAAAAGCAATAATATGCCAAGAAGAAACCGGAAATTGTGCACTGGAGAGAAGTTTGCCTTTAAACGCAAACCGAATAAATTTTCTCCCTCTTCTTTAATTTGGGACCTAATAATAATAATAATAATAATAATTTTATTTGTATCCCACCCTCCCCGGCCAAGGCCAGGCTCAGAGTGGCTAACATCATAGAAACAACACAATATGCATAAAAACAGACATCAGTTAACTAAAATACAGTGGTACTTCGGGTTACATACGCTTCAGGTTACAGACTCTACTAACCCAGAAATATTACCTCAGGTTAAGAACTTTGCTTCAGGATGAGAACAGAAATCGTGCAGGGGCGGTGTGGCGGTAGCAGGAGGCCCCATTAGCTTAAGTGGTGCTTCAGGTTAAGAACAGTTTCAGGTTAAGAATAGACCTCCAGAACGAATTAAGTACTTAACCTGAGGTACCACTGTACATCTTAAAATTAATTCAGACAAGTTAATATCTGGGCAGGTGGCAATTTTCAGGTTGGAATTGAGAGTGGTTAATATTTGACAGGACCAACTATTTCCACTGATCATACAAGGACCTGTGAGTGTGTTGGGGGCCTCCTTCGGGCTTGTTTTATACAAAGGAATGTCAGTCAAACTGCATCCTGCCCAAAGGGGGGGGGGCACAGAAAGCTGCCTTATACCAGCTCAGACCATTGGTCCTGCTAACTCCATGTTATCTACACCGACTGGGAGTGACATGCCAGGATTTCAGATGGAGAGCATTTCAAACTAAACCAGGGACTTTCTGTAAGCCAAGCAGACTCTGTCATTGATCTGTGGTCCTTCCCATATGTGTTCTCTCTGATCACCATTAATATTCCCAGGTACCAAAGTTCATCCACCCAGCACCACCACATCCCTCCTTTCCTGGGTGATTCTGCTTCCTGCCTGATGTCACCTGTGAAGATGGAAAGGATGTTTTTTTGCCCCCTTGCTATCTTGCATACTCTTAGGTTGTGCGTCTACGACCTTCTTTCCTTCATTAGTTCCACCGGCCACTGTCAGGAAGCCCAGCTTAGGTAGGCAGCATGGAACGGTGTGTGTGTGTGTGTGTGTGTGTGTGTGTGTGTGCAGTGCTGGATTTACGTATAAGCTAAACAAGCTATAGTTTAGGGCCCCACTCTCTTGGGCCCCCCAAAAAAATTTAAAGGTGGGAAAAACTGGATGTGCATTTCCAAAATATAAGATAAAAAACAGATGAAATAAAACCTACATACAGCAACAGTGTTTTGTGTTGTGTAGGCTCCTATGCTGTAAGTAATGGGCCTTGCCTGCTAGCCTGCTCCCTAAAATATCACGGGTTTGCTCCTTTCTATATATAAGGTGCCTTCATTCTGCATAGACTGGTTGCATGGCAACATGTGCAAATGGCTTTAGATACTTATTAGGTCCGTAAATGACCATATAGCATATATTCAACACAAAAAACAGTGACAATTTGTTGTTGACAAAGGACAGCTGGACATATAAAGGGCCCCATTATCTTCAGTAACTTAGGGCCTTATCAAACCTAAATTCAGTCGTGTGTGTGTGTGTGTGTGTGTGTGTGTGTGTGTACGAATAATTGAGGAGGTCTACTTTGAGATGCAGGTGGGGAGTTGTGTTCCTCACTTGTCTGGCTTAAAATTCAACCCAGATAAGAATTTAGGTGTCACCATCTTCTCCTGGTGATTTGAGTAAAGAATTTCTGGTCTCCCCACCCCCAAGACTTGTGTTTCTGAACTAGGAAATCTCAGCAGCATCGCAGCTCACCTCCTGCAGTTCAAGTTCTGAGATGAAAAAAATATCTGAATCAAAAATTTGTACCTATATTGTATTTGTAGAGGTGCCTTTAATAAAAATAAAAATCAAACAAACAAACAAACATTTGACTCTGTTCCAGTAGCTCAGGAATTAAATGGGGTGGGGGTGATGAAGATGGAATGTCTTACGTGAAGACCATTCTCTCTCTCATGCTGCTCTGATGTCACAAAGTAGAATCCTGTTTCTTGGCTACCTGGATGATTTGTCATGCGGACTGAGTGTGGCCTAGCTTGGTGAGAAAATGGATTCCTCTGAATTTGTGATTTGGTTGAATCTGGTGCGCGGCCTTAACTTCTCCCCTCTCCAGTTCTTGTCAGGCAGTGAGGGGGGCAAGTGTTTAAAAGCGCTTCTATTACTTCTCCAGGAATAAGTATGGTGTAAGTGAAAATGATATGAATTGTAGAGTTTTGTATTATTATTTTTAACGCATGCCCATTTCCCCTCATTTTCAGCTTATTTCCAAGGTTTGCTTTCCTTTCGTGGAGTATAAGATGCACTAGTCGTTTATATCATTTATATTTACAGTGGTACCTCGGGTTAAGTACTTAATTCGTTCCAGAGGTCAGTTCTTAACCTGAAACTGTTCTTAACCTGAAGCACCACTTTAACTAATGGGGCCTCCTGCTGCTGCCACGCCACCGGAGCACGATTTCTGTTCTCATCCTGAAGCAAAGTTCTTAACCTGAGGTACTATTTCTGGGTTAGCGGAGAATGTAACCTGAAACGTATGTAACCTGAAGCATATGTAACCCGAGGTACCACTGTACTGTCCTACAAAATGTAATTAACCATTTATCCCCTGTTGTGTTTGTTTTGTTGTTTTCAGAAGTTATGCGCAAAATTAATAAAGAGTATTTAGTTATTATTATTATTTTCTAAAGTACTGCCCATATTTTGACTGATAAATTAGGGTTGCCATATCTCGAAGAGCAAAAAGGAGGACAGCCCAAGCTGCTGCCAGCCTGAGCTAGTGAAAGAGGCATGCAGGTGTGTGGGGCCACTGCCACCTTGCTTGTGCACCTCTTTCCTCGGCTCAAGCCATAGCTGTCAACTTACAGTTTTGAAAATAAGGGACCAGCAGCCTCAAAAATAAGGGATCAGCAGCCAAAATAAGGGATTCTCCAGGCACAGGTATGATCAACTTCTGAGCCCCTCTGAGCCAAAGGCAGAAAGCCCATCCAGCAGCCAAACAAGGCCTCAAGCGGTGGTTCCCACAGCGCAGCAACCCGGCAAAGGGGATGCAGCAAGGAAAACCACCGTCACCTCTCCGCTGGGAAGTGCATCATCAATTGACATCATCAATAAGGGACAGCAGCGGGACACGGCGCTGGGATAAGGGACTTTCCTGCCAAATAAGGGATGATTGACAGCTATGGCTCAGGCTGGCAGCAGCTGAGATGTGCAGAGCAGCCTGCGCCCAAGCCACCCACCCCCAAAACCTGGACATTTCCTCTAAGATGTACAAATCCATGTGGATGGGCATGTTGCCCCTCCTCCAAAAGGAGATGTCCAGGTTTTTCCGAACATATGCCAACCCAATGACAAATGGGGTCATTCAGGTACGTACAATAAACCACTATCTTGTTTCTTCAGGGTCTTATTTCTGCAACTACTTGAGTTTGCTATTTGTGGAAATGATGATTCAAAGGATATTTCTGCACCACTCATTTATATAATATGTCATGGAAATCCTTTACACCAGGCATAGCCTGTTAATCAAAGGAGATCTTGCCTGGGAGAGCTAAAACCATCTATGAGAGGACAGAAAAGAGAAGCCAATAGACTTTCATTGTTACTTTTACTGAGAATTCAACCACTGCAATGACTGGGATTGCTATGGTGCTTTTAATCACAGGAACAAAATATTTATATGGCTTTCCAAAATAGTAATCCACAGACCGTTGCTTTTTAATGGTTTCGAATATGAATCAGAACTACTTGCTGTGCTCCTTATGGAGCAAAAATTATATACACTAATTTGACCCCACCCCCATTTTTACTGCAGTTAATAAAGAAGATGTTAGTGGTCACACAAACTGCTTTGCCATTGCAATGGGGGGGGGTGTCCAGCACCACACAACATCACCCCCCCCCTTTAAATTGCCATTATTATCAACCTCAGACTGTGGAAGCAAAGCATTGCATCACACCAAACACTAAACAACCAAACAATAAATAATAGGAGAAATAAATGTTGACATACCAATATAAATCAAGGCATCCATATTTCCTGAGCTGATGTGGTGAAATTGCGCATCGATTTCTGAAGCATGGGAAATAAAATCCCTCCAGATGACATAATAGAATTGTGGATCCTTCATCGCCTTGGAAACACACATATGCATGACACATATTTTCTCCCACAATAGGCCAAAGGTCCATATGTTCTTATGTCACAAAAACAAATTTTCAAGGTTTCCCATTGCTGGGGCTGTTGAAATCCTAGCTGCAGCAAACATCCATACTGAAAGATTTTCAGAGAGATGAGTTTTCATGTTGTTCATCCTCATATTCTGGAATGACAGTTGTGTGAAAGCCAGACATCTTAAACTGTTGATTTTTTTGTGCATTGGGTAATTCTGAAAGACACATAGTCACCACCTGAGATGTGGAGAAGTGGGTGGTGCAGGACGAACTGAACACAATCTCAGAAGCTTAGATAGGTATGCATACAGAGAAACATAGTGTTCTTTTTTTTGATGTTGCCTGAGAAAAGAATAGGGCCTTCACTTGCACTCCTCTCTCCCCATTAAGGCTGGGCAATATCTGATTTTCAGCATCACAATATATCATCAGCTAAACATTGTGGTATATCTATTTATCATGATGTCCAAAATAAGGATTAAATTATGTAGAGGCAAACATCTAGGGCTGGGCAATATCTGGTTTTCAACAGTGTGATATATCACCACCTAAACAACAATTTATCACACTGTATGATATATCATCATATATCACAAAATATCACGATATATCAGGCTGTATGAAATAAGGATGGAGCTATGTAGAGGCATTGCCTGGCTTCATGGTTTCCCCTGCATTGTGATTTTTGCACAATGCACAGAGAGACACCATGATTCGTGATATATTGCCAGGTCAAAAATTATGAAACCGATATCACAACATAAACTTCAAACTGGTTTTGTATGATATGTTGATATATCATCCAGCCCTACATACCATCACTTCTTGCTACATGGATTCCAGTGCAGATGGCAACAGGAGCATTGCAGATCTACTTACTGATGAGAAAAGAAGCCTGCTGGATCAGGTTAATGGCCTAGCATTCTGTTCTCATAGTTGACAACAAGATGCATGTGCGAAACCCCCAAACAGGACCTTGGTACAACTGTACTCTCCCTTCCTGTGGTTTCCAGTGGAGGGGGTGAATAGGCAAACAGTGTTCCATGGGGGTGCCATTTTGCTGCCCCCACATGCATCCTGCCTGTGGCAGTTCCCTCAGTTTGCTTAATGGAAGGGCTAGCCCCTGAATTGGAAACTGGAAAGAGAGAAAGCATGGAATAGGAATAAATGGGTAATACACATAGTAGATAGGGACGCGGGTGAAGCTGTGGTCTAAAGCACTGAGCCTTTTGGGCTTGCTGATCAGAAGGTTGGTGGTTTGAATCCCCATGATGGGGTGAGCTCCCGTTGCTCAGTCCCAGCTCCTGCCAACCTAGCAGTTTGAAAGCATGCCAAAAAAGTGCGAGTAGATAAATAGGTACCACTCCGGCGGGAAGGTAAATGGTGTTTCTGTGCGCTGCTCTGATTTCGCCATATGCAGCTTAGTCATGCTGGCCACATGACCCAGAAAAACTGTCTGTGGACAAACGCCGGCTCCCTCGGTCAGTAAAGCCAGATGAGTGCTGCAATCCCAGAGTCATCTGTGGACTGGACTTATCTGTCAGGGGTCCTTTACCTTTACCATTTTACCTATAGTAGATAGTTGTACAAGCAAGAAGTTTGGTGTCCCAACGCTTGGTATTAGGACAGGCGCTTTTTTAACTTGATCTGGAGTTTAGGGATATAGCAGCCTTTGTATGAACTTTTAGGACTTGTCATTTCTTTGATGGGGGTTTGTCTGGGCACCGTAGGACATGTACAGTCTTGAGCACACTGGAGGAAAAGTGAATATCAATGTGACAAATTCACCTTAAAATTATATCTGCACCACTTCACCTTAATGTTTAATTTCTTCTCTTCCTGTTCCTATACTTCCCATATTTCCTCTTCCTCATTACTTCTAGAATAATGTGCTTACATAATGCCACATCCATTAAACTCATTCTTTCAAAAGTCAGTAAACATCATGCCAATTATACTCTGCAGGAAGTATCATGTAGCTGCCCTTGCGTGATTCACATCAGACCCCTTTCCCCCTGCCACTATTCCAATTTCAGCCATTGGTTTGGGTTGATTTAATTTCACCCACTCCCCTTGTTCCTGATATAGATCTTCACTCCTCTCTTCTTCCCTGTCTAGTGGGGTGAAAGGTGCCATTTTGTGGTTTGCCCCAGGTTCCGAAATATATTGTTCCTGAGTGTGTCTAAGGTACAATGAGCTCAGGGCTCTACAGGAACAGGTTTGTTCCCTTGAGGCCTGGAAAAAATAAGAATCAGAGAAGTTATAGCTGTGTCCCACTCCAACAACCATAGCTCCCTTGCATTCAGGAAGAGTAAGGGTATAAGGAAGCACCACATTTCCTGAGAAGGGACTCATTCTTTGTGGGACAAACAGCTATCCTTTTGTGCCAATGATACTCTCTGTGGGTGGAGGGATCCTGGCTGTGGGTAATCCAGAACATCAATACAGACGGCAGGGTGAATTGACCGCTTGGAGCAAGCATAGTGGATATTGCCTATGGAGTGGCAGCAGTGGTCATGGTACATGTTGGCACAAATGACATGGGGCATGTGGTTGAGAGGTCCCAGAAACCATATTCCCATGTGAGCAAAGTTTACAGCATATGGGACTTTTTAGTTTAGAGAAAAAGCAAGTAAGACTTGACATGATAGAAGTTTTTTGAATAAAGATGGCATGGAACAATGAATAGAGAAAAGTCTTTCTCCTTCTCTCATAACACTACAGCTTGTGGATGTACAATGAAGCCAAATGTTGGACAATTCTGGACAGATTAAAAGCAATACTTTATCATGCACAACTTATCATGTAGGAGCCTGCTCCTACAGGAGTGATGGCCACCAACTTGGATGACTTTAAAAGATGATTAGAGAAACCCATGGAGGAGAGGACTATTGAAGGCTACTTGCCATAATGGCTATGCTCTGCCTCCACAGTTAGGTAAAGGTAAAGGGATCCCTGACCATTAGGTCCAGTCGTGACCTACACTGGGGTTGCAGCGCTCATCTCGCTTTACTGGCTGAGGGAGCCGGCGTACAGCTTCCGGGTCATGCGCCAGCATGACTAAGTCGCTTCTGGTGAACCAGAGCAGGGCACGGAAACACCGTTTACCTTCCCACCAGAGCGGTACCTATTTATCCACTTGCACTTTGATGTGCTTTCGAACTGCTAGTTTGGCAGGAGCTGGGAGCTCACCCCGTCGCGGGGATTTGAACCGCTGACCTTCTGATCAGCAAGTCCTAGGCTCTGTGGTTTAACCCACAGCGCCACCCGCGTCCCTGCCTCCACAGTTAAGAGGCAGCAATACTTCTCATGCTCGAATCCTGCTTGTGAGTTTCCCACAAGGATCTGGCTGCCCATGAACAGGGTGCTGCACTTGGCCTGGTCCAACAGGCTCTTCTTATGTTCTAAGAACATAAGCAGAACAATGCTGAATATGGTCAAGAGTCTATTTGCTTCAACATTCTATTTTCAGAGCTAGTCATTCAAAGTTTTCTGGGAAGTCCATAAGCAAGACATGGTTTCAATGTCTTCATTGCTTGAACCCTGCCCCGAGCAATCAAGCTTCAGAGGACTACTGTGTCTGAAAACAGAGGCTCAGTTTCAGAACCAGCTTCCATAGAGACCATATTGTCGTCTGGTTCCTTATAGCATTGCATTCAAACCCCTTCAAGGAATTCTGTTCTTGCTGTTCACTGACAGGCAGATGTGCAAGGACTAGCTGAAGTTGGCAGGTAATATTCAAAGGTGCTTAGTGTGTTTCAACAGTGATGGGGAATCTGTTCCCACCCTCCAAGATGTTGAATTCCAAATCCTATCAACATCAGCCAACATGGCCCATGGCTAGAGATGATGGACCAACTTGTCTTACAATAATCAGTTCTGCATGTATTAAAATCTCTTTCTTGTTTGGATTGAGTTTCAGTTGTTTCATCCTCATCTGATCCATTCCTGCCTCCCCCTCAGAGCTTCCATCACCAATTCACCTGGCTTGGTTGCAACAGAAAAACAGAGTCCGCCCCGTTTTGCAGAACTCAAAGGAAAACAGCCATGAAGTTCTTTGGGCTTTTGTTTGCTGCTCTTTTATTGATATCTTGGGCTTCTCCAGGTAAGATATTATGGGTGTCAAGCTGTTCTAAGCAAAATGAAGCTCTGGGTCCCAAGCTAGTTAGGACTTTGAGAGTTAAAGGCAACATCTAATAGTTGCCCAAGTGAGACCCTTCTCTGTTGTAGCCCCTAAATTGTGGAATTCCCATCCAACAGAAGTGCATCTGGCATCTTCACTCTACCACTTTTGGCAAATGAGGAGGATGCAACCCTTTACACCTCTTGACACCTGAGATGTGTGTTTTCAGGGCCCTCTTTATTCCTATGACTGTGATGTGTTTGTAACTGGATTTCAAATTGCTTTAACCCACCTTGGAACCTACTGGTGAAGGGTGGGCTATCATCACCATCTTCATCACACAGGAGTACTGATAAAATTTGGTTCACAGTAACTATGATTAAGCTAACTTTTTACAAAATAATATAACTTAATAGATTTGTGGAAAAAATGGATTTATTTGGGTAACATTTTGGAACAGTAAGTTCAATGATGATGCTATTGTGCTGCTTTCAACCTGCTGTAACACTGAGTATTTCTTTATTTCCTTGTGCTTCTATCTTTTACCATTTCATTGATTAACAAATAACATTTAAAACAATAAAGGAGTTATGCAACAAGGGAAATAGAAGTCAATAACCTATTCAAACATTCAAAAAACATGAGGGGTAGGGGGTCAAAGCATGTAAAGTGTGTTGGGTAAGGATGTACAAACCTTTCCATTTCATTTTGGTTTCTCATTCTTCCATAATCTTAAATTCATTTCTCCATAGTTCTGAATTCCATGAACTTCCCTGTAATATAATGTATTTTAGTGTGCAGTTTTACCAATGTATGCATACATTACCATGCTATTATTAATAATAATAATTGAATTTATTAGTCATTTTATTTTACCCAAGTCAACCCAGGGTAAATCAAAACCAACCAATCAGCCAAACATACAAACAAACCCACAAAGAAGGATTAAAAATGGGGGGGTAGAGAAACACCTTAGAAACATCACACCCACTTCTAAAAGGCCACAGGTAGTTAAATGCCATAGACCTGGTTAACAGAGGAAAGTTTTTGTCTGGCATGTAAAGATATATACTGATGGCACCAGCCAAGCCCCCCTGGAGAGAGCATTCCATGAATGGGAAGCCACCACAGAAAATGCCATTCTTGTGTTGCCACGCTCCAGACTTCTCGTGGAGGAAGCTCATGAAGAAGGGCCTAAGAGGGTTATCAGAGGGTCTGGGTAGGTTCATATGAGAGAGACAGTCCTTGAGGTATTGTGGTCCTGAGCCATTTAAGCACTTTGAATTGGGCCTGGAAATCAATTTGCAGGCAGTGCTGTTGGGTCAGATTTGGAGTAACATGCTCAAACCATTTTGTCCCAGTGTGCAACCTGGCCACTGAATTCTGCACCAGCTGATGCTCCAGAACCATCTCCAGAGGCAGTTCCATGTGTAACGTGTTGCAGTAAAGAGGTTACCAGAGCATAGACAACAGTAGTTAGGCTATCCCTGCCCAGATGGGGCATAGCTGAGCCACCAACTGAAGCTAATAGAAGGCACTCTGCAATCCGACCCTCAAGTAACAGCAGTGGATCTAGAAGTATTCCCAAGCTGCGTACCCGCTCCTTCAAAGGAAGTGTAACCCCATCAAGAGCAAGCGATCTCCCACTAACAGTTCCTCAGTCTGATCTGGATTGAGCTTTTCAGTTCATTGGCATCCATTACCAAGGCTGGTTGAAACCACACTACATATTTAAGAGAAGTATGACTCTTGAAGGATGGCTTTTTTTTGTTTCTGCATTGTTTCAGAAACTGCAGCTTAGGTAGTTTCACAATTTTCTCCCCCGATTCTCAGTGGCTGCTGCTGCTGCTACTGCTGCTGATTTTATACCCTGTCCACCTGGCTGGATTGCCCTATCCCTATCCAATGAACCTGCATAGCTCCACCTCTGACCCTCCTGTCTTGAGCAGGAATGTCTGAAGAGGGGGTCTGCATGTGTTAAGCTGAAGCCACTCAGAAACCTTCCTGCAATTTGAAACTGCGCAATTGAGATTCACATCCAAAGGGAGGTCTCCTAGTGCACCCAGCAGAACACACAGATAGCCCCACTTCAGACCTTGCACCCATCACATGAAGGTCTGAGTTTTTATCAGCCACCACAGATTGTAGTGTCACTCATCTTTCAATACACGCAAACACACACACACACACACACACACACACACACATTTAATCCAATGCCTGAATAATAGGGTCAGATGCTCATGAGGAAGTTAGTTCTCAATGTATTGTATGCTAGCCATAAAGGTTGACTCTTCCCTTTCTTCCTCTCATTTTGCAGTGGCCTCTAAAGTTTATGGTTCCCATGACTGCATAAGCATTAATAAGGGTAAATGTTTTCGATGGGACAAGTGCTTACCCTTTTATGACATGCTTGGAAAATGTGACAGTTTGAAGATATGCTGTAAAAGGTGAGATAGGATGCCTCAGGGTCATCTACAATTCTATGGCTCCATAAGATCCTGAACGTCCTATGTCCCACCCTCAGGACTGGCCAATGTAGCTGCAGCCAGCTCTCATCCCACACTACCACCTGAATTAGATGGTGGAGGAGGGGGGCAACTTCCAGTCCCTGCAGCTGCTGCAGCAGCCATGTCCTAGCAGATCTGCAGAATGCTCAGGTGGAGGGCATTCAACCAGCTGAAAGTAACAGCAGCACCCCCTTCCGCTGCACCCTGAAATTCACATTGACATCACAATCGCCTGCAGCCACCCTGCCAGCTCCCCAACACTATCACAGAGCCAGCAGTTAGGTGATGGTTATGTCCTGCCTGAAGCACTTGACTTTGTGGTTTCTGTTGGCTACACGAGCTGACAATCCTGCCAGCATCTGAGGGAGGGGCTGAACAGGGCAGAGGTCTTGGGCATGCCAGTGGAGGCACCCTTGCTCTCCCCATTGCCATCAGGCCCTGGCAGGGAGGATGGGTATCCCCAACAGGAACAGCAACTGTGCCTGACCACCCAGCCCTGCCACTTCTCACAGGAGAGCGACATCCCACATCCCTCTGCTGCAACTGGCACCAGAGATTGGAGGGCTTGGGGTGGTGAGAGTTGTTCCACAAGGGCAGAGGACAATGGCTATGCATGTTTCCTGGCTGGCACAGCCCTGGCTGCTTCTGATGGGGCTGCCTTCTGCTTGGTGGTTGGCATTCTCTTCTCGGCTGGCCACCACTGCTGCTCTCAATACGGGGTCTGCTGGAGAGGAGCTGCAGAAAGGGAGAAGAAAGGGAGTGGAGATGGACAGAACATGGAATGTAGCCCTGTTGTTGTTTAGTCGTTTAGTCGTGTCCGACTCTTCGTGACCCCATGGACCAGAGCAGGCCAGGCACTCCTGTCTTCCACGGCCTCCCGCAGTTTAGTCAAACTCATGCTGGTAGCTTCGAGAACACTGTCCAACCATCTCGTCCTCTGTCATCCCCTTCTCCTTGTGCCCTCCATCTTTCCCAACATCAGGGTCTTTTCTAGGGAGTCTTCTCTTCTCATGAGGTGGTCTTATGCCCCACCAATGCTAAGCCTCCCTCTTCAGCTGGTTGAGGTGAAGAGGTACTAGAGGGATCAGAACAGGCTGGGTAGATATTACCCAAGCAGCTTCCTTAAGGAGCAGGACATGGTACTTTTCTTAGCAGAGTGTCACCTATAATCACACCCAAGGACACGTTATCTGGATCCCATGGCGTTAGGACTTAGTAATGACTCACCTTTAAGTAAAACTCTTTCTGTTGCTGGGTACAGATTATAATGCACCACACAGAATTGCCATATTTGTTAAAAAGGTTACGGAGAAGTGAAAGCTATTGACTGCACCTGAAGATTCCGCAGGTGAAAATGAATTCATTGGCTGCTTTCATGGGGGAATGTTTATAAACAGGGTTTTTGTGATAATGTATTTTGCATGCATGAATTTGTGTATGTGTTCGGCCTGGTTGGCTAAAAGGCAATCAACTGTTTCCCATTTCAGGAAGGAAGAACACGTCAAATCTCATTCTGATGGGACCACCAGGTGAGACTGTGCCCAGTTACTAAGTATTGGGCCATGCCGACTGATTTCTATTGTGACTTTTGCATTAGACCACCCTCTTTGCCTGTTCAGTTTATGCCAGGTTCCCAAGGCACATGGTTTAGGAGCCAGAATAAGCCCCCTTTCCCTCCTTTCTCAACCCCACATCAAAGTGGCTCATCTCCCAACCTATTTGTGCAGCAACAGCTAAGAGCATGCGCAGAGGTGGGAGCATACACCTCTGTGTAATGCAGCCTCTTCCACTGCGTGAACCCTCTGGCAACTAACCTAGCCTTGTACTGTGGTTCTCCAGATTCTGTGGGTTTAAGGCAATAAACCCACCTGCTACTCACAGCCTGTTTGCTAGCTGGCAACGTTGTGAGGGAGAACACACCTAGAGACTCCATTGAGCTCATCTCCTTCTGCATTGCCTCATGTCATTTGCTGGCTTCTTCCTGAGGCAGCTTCTGTACATCCTCAAAGTTTCAGGTTCACACCTAGCCACACCAACCCACACACTTGTGGCTTCAAACTTGTCAGGTGGCTTACCCTTAGTGGTTCTAGCTGATCTCAGCGTAAACTCTGGTACCCCCTCTGACCCACTAGGGCCAGCCAGACTACCCCCAGTGTTAGAGAACTCCCCCTCTGACCTGCTGTATCTTTTGAACCTCACAGCTGGACCTGCGGGCGCGGCCGGCTCACTCTTTGGCTCAGACTTGACAGTGGACTGTGGAGGGCTTCTAGGCCACCCCCTTGGAGGGGTTTTGGGCCGCTACTGCTCTGGGCTCTGTTGCTCTGGACTCTGTTCCTCAGCAACAGGTTCAGTTCCCTCCTCTTCCTCCTCATCTGAGTCAAGAAACTGTTCTGAAAGAACATCTGGGTTACCATGTATGCGTGTCCACCCACTTTGCTCACAAAATTCAGCACTGCTGCTCACTAGCAGCCGGGACTGATTGTCATCAGGATATGTGAACCACCATGCTTTGAACCCAGGTTCATATCCGACAAAGATCATCTTCCTGGACCTTGGTCCACCCTTTCTGCATTTGGCCTTTGGGATGAGGACCCAAGCCTCACAGCCAAAAACACGTAAGAAATGCACTTTGGGCTTCTTACCGTGCAGCAGAAAATAGGGTGTGTCCCCTACAGCTGAATTAAACACGTGATTCTTCACAGATTTCCAACATTCAGCCCAAAAGTGTTGTGGGAGTCCTGCGTCAAACAGCATGGCAGCCACGGCCTCTTGTAGTGTTCTGTTCTTGCGTTCAGCAACACCATTCTGTTGAGGACTGTGTGGTGCTGTCAGCCTGTGACTGATTCCCTTCTGGCGGAAGAAACTCTGCAGTGCAGACCCAGTAAACTCCACCCCTCTATCGCTCTGAAAGCTACCCAATTTGGCAGAAAATTGCAACTCTACCACTGTGATCCAATCCTTAATCAATGCAGTGGCTTCCCCTTTGTGTTTTATCGAAAAAACCCAAGAGTTCCTCGAAAAATCATCCAAGAGAAGCAAAATGTATTTAGACCCACCCAGAGATGCTACTGGCATAGGCCCACACAAATCTGCATGGACCAGCTCAAAAGGCTTGCTTGTCTCTCTGCTCGACCTGGGATATGAGGATGTTTTCACTTTGGATTGCTTACAGGCTCTGCAATCCAGAAACTTATCACATCCCTTTAATTTCCACCCATCTGCACACTCTGGGGCCTTCTTGACATAGGACCAACTCGAATGAACGAGTCTGCAGTGCCATAGATGGGAACAGCCATCATGTGGTGGGATGTTTGCGCACTGCACCTGTGTTACCTCAGGGGGGTCATTACCAGCAACAGGCATCTCAACCACGAACAGCCAATTCTTGCACTCAACACTGAACAGCTGCTTCCCATCCCTGGAAGAAGAACACATGTTATTTGCAAACTGAACACAGAAACCACCAGCTACTAGAGCAGACATGGATAAAAGGCAGTTGGCTATTTCTGGAACCACAAAAGCCTGAACATCATGATCTTGGAACGAACAATAAAGGGTCCCAGACTGAGTCAGTGGCCTTCTGCTTCCATCTGCCAGTGACACATATCTTCCACTTTGCACAGTCTTGCAGTTCCAAAGAAGTCCAGCTGAGGGCACTAAAGTGTGCGTGGCTCCAGTGTCAACAACAAAGGAGAGACTGGCTTCCTGTTTGGGTTTCACAACAGCCATAAAAGCTGCTAGATGAAACAATGTTGTTGACTCCTTGCGCTCAACCCAGTTGAAACTTTGGGCATTCTTCCCATGCTTTGCAGAGGTCTTAATCTGGTTGCTCCGGGAGACAGCCTTGGGCCCTTCCTGCTGTGCCTCTGCAGGACAGTCTCTCACGAGATGGCCAGTACTTCCACACTGAAAACATCTTTTGGAGACAAAGGCTTTTACAGAGCTCTCACAGCTTCTCCCTGCACCCCCACTCCTGGGTGCACAGTTTCCAGAGGAACAGCCTGCGACTGCTTTCCTCTCAGCTCTCTACCTCTGTTCCTGTCCATCACAAAGATGTGTTGAAGCATAAAAACAGCTTCCAGAAACATGGCTTTCAGCCCCCACTGGGGTCACGGCCCCCTCTCGGTCTTTGGCTCCCACTGTGGCTACACACGCCTTCTGCAGTGCCTGCCAAGTGACCCGGGCCTCCTTGATCTCCTCAAGGTTTGCAACAGCCAAGCGTCCACGCTTGCTCTCAGCATGCTCAGGACACTCTGATCCCTTTCCAGAGCTGCAGCCACTTCTGCCTCAGAAACTGTCTCACTAGCCTGAGATGGTGGCGTTTGCATGCAATTCCAGAGCTGTTCTCCCAACAGCCAGTACTTCATCCTTACGGACCACTCCTCCCAATTGGGACCAGTCAGCCTTTCAAAAGGCAAGGTGAAAGCCTCTGGAGCCTGAGCCATCTTTCCTGGGGCTATAGCTTACTCACGCTTCTGCTGGCCGGTGCTCAAAGATGCTTCCTTCAGCTCCGCTTCACCAGCGAAATCTTGACTGCCTCAGCGTCTGGCAGGACTTCAAAGCTGTACTTGGACGTAACATTCGTTTCTCACACTTAGCAGCAAAATGAATGGCCCATAACCTGTGAACTTTACTGCCTGTCCGGCACACTTCCGCGGTGCAATGAATCTGCTTCCAGGCAGCTGCAGAGCTGAGTAGCGGTTGCTTCCGTATGAGAAGAAGGAAAAAAGGGTCAACTCACTGTTCTTTCTTAACAGCGTTTATTTACAGCAAGCAAAACAACAAACAGTTCCATCTGAACTCGGACACATGCTGTGTGTGTGTCTCTCTCTCTCCACCAAAATCGAAAGTGCTTTTTACACAGACACAGACAAAGAACAACGCAGCTTCCACTTCCTGGGAAGCTCCTCCCCAGATGTAGGACATTCAGGAGGTTTAACCGTTAAACACCACACTCCACAGTTTATAAACAGGGTTTTGTGATAATGTATTCTGCATGCATGAATTTGTGTATGTGTTTGGCCTGGTTGGCTAAAAGGCAATCAACTGTTTCCCATTTCAGGAAGAAAGAACACTTCAAATCTCATTCTGATGGGGCCACCAGGTGAGACTGTGCCCAGTTGCTAAGTATTGGGCCATGCCGACTGATTTCTATTGTGACTTTTGCATTAAACTACCCTCTTTGCCTGTTCAGTTTATGCCAGGTTCCCAGGGCACATGGTTTAGGAGCCAGAATAAGCCCCCTTTCCCTCCTTTCTCAACCCCACCATGCCCTTGGAATGCCCATTTTCAGGGTTTACACTGACATAAGATCCAACAAGCTCAGCTTTGTTGGCTGAGACACTGCAGGGTTACGGAAGATACTGCAATGTGTCTTTGGCAGATCTGTGGATGGGGACTAGTTGGGAACCCCCCAACAAAACCAGAGATCTGCTGGACCTTCTCAGCCCTGTGGATCTCCCTTCAGGAATACAGAGTGAGATAACAAAACTACTGTGTTCCAAAAACAACACAACCATAAGTCCAAGGATGATCCAATTGAACACAAATGTCAAAATTTGTTGTCAAAGAAATCTATAAAACAGGGGTCAGCAAACTTTTTCAGCAGGGGGCTGGTCCACTGTCCCTCAGACCTTGTGGGGGGCCGGACTATATTTTGGAGGGGAAAAACCCACACGAACGAATTTCTATGCCCAACAAATAACCCAGAGCTGCATTTTAAATAAAAGCACACATTCTGCTCATGTCAAAACACCAGGCAGGCCCCACAAATCACCCAGAGATTCATTTTAAATAAAAGGACACGTTCTACTTATGTAAAAACACGCTGATTCCCAGACTGTTCGTGGGTCGGATTGAGAAGGTGACTGGGCTGGATCCAGCCCCCATGCCTTAGTTTGCCTACCCATGCTATAAAACATGGGATGAGAACAATTCTGTAGGACAGGGATCTGCATACATGCAATCTGAGAACCAAAAGTAAATATTAAAAGTTATATCATGAGATGAAAGGAGTTGCCTTATCCTTTGATCCGAAGCCCAACAACTATTTCTCTCTTCCATTTTTGTACCCATTAAGTCACATCTACCTGAGAGCCAGCCTCCTTCCTTAGTCCCCTCCTTGGCCACCTTTGCCGATTTGCTACTGGACCAAGTTCAAGGTGTTACTATTAGCATATAAAGTCCTTAACAACTTGGGACCAGTTTACCTACAAAATTGTCTTACCCCACATGTGCCCACTCGACTATTTCAATCGGCAGAATTGACACTACTAAGTTGTCTTGTAATACCTGCATTCTGCATTTGTAAGAACTCGATTGGTTAGTTCCTACCCTTTGGAACTCCCTGCCTATTGAAGCAGGTGTCTTCATTGTACACTTTTTGGCACCTGTTAAAACATTCCAAGGAATGCAGGTGGTGCTGTGGGTTAAACCACAGAGCCTAGGGCTTGCTGATCAGAAGGTTGGCAGTTTGAATCCCCATGATGGGGTGAGCTCCCATTACTCGGTCCCTGCTCCTGCCAACCTAGCAGTTCGAAATCACTTCAAAGTGCAAGAAGATAAATAGGTACCACTCTGGCAGGAAGGTAAACGGTGTTTCCATGCGCTGCTCTAGTTCGCCAGAAGCGGCTTAGTCATGCTGGCCACATGAACCGGAAGCTGTACGCCAGCTCCTTCAGCAAATAAAGCAAGCGCCACAACCCCAGAGTCATCCGCGACTGGACTTAATGGTCAGGGGTCCCTTTACCTTTACCTTTTTAAAACATTCCAGTTGAGACTAACCGACCCAGATGCTTAGAAAGTTGAGATGATTTTAATATGTTTAATATGTTTTAGTATTTTAACTTTTGTATGTTTTAAAGTAGGGTTGTGATTTCCCCCCTTTGAGGGTATTTTTTTTTACAATTGACCAATGTATAAATTTAATGAAATAAATAAAAAATAAAATATTTTTTTCCATGGCTGACGATTTTCTTGGCTGCTATTCACCTTGTGTCCACTAGCAGCAAGGTTCATTGTTGTGGCCCCTTGAAAACTGACTTCATTATCTTCTGAGATAAGTTGTGTTCCAAGCACCTGCTCTTTCAGAGACATGCAGGTCTTTTTTCATTTACCCAAGCCTTTTTCTGAACGAAATCTTTGACCACTGTGCATTGATCATCATCTAGTGTCGTGATGTTATATTAACAGTATGGGTTTTCGTTTGTTTGTTTTCTGTAGAAAGTTCTGATATTTTCTAATCTAAACATTTTAAAATAGTAAATGAGAATGACAATAATAAGCAACCATTCCATTTCTGCCTATATTCCCCTATCTGTTTTTTTGCAGAAAACACACTGTTTCCGTCAGAATTCAGCACAGCAGCTCTCATCACATGTGAGTAGGCGTGGGGAAGGAATCTGGCAAGCTGTGACTCCACGTTAGCATGCCTGATTCAATGTACCCAGACCAGAACTGGGATTTTTTCTGGGATCTGAACATGGCCCTGTTCCCACTCTCTTGTGGATCCCCAATATGAGGTGTCCTAAGGGATGCCTGAGGTGCTGTGGTCTAAATAATAATAATAATAATAATAATAATAATAATAATAATAATATGTTATTTATACCCCACCCATCTGGCTGGGCTTCCCCAGAGACTCTGGGTGGCTTCCAACAAAATATTAAAATACAGTAATGCATCAAACATTAAAAGCTTCCCTAAACAGGACTTCAGATGTCTTCTAAAAGTCTGGTAGTTGTTGTTCTTTTTGACATCTGGGTGGGCGGGCGCCACTACCGAGAAGGCCCTCTGCCTGGTTCCCTGTAACTTGGCTTCTCGCAGTGAGAGAACTGCCAGAAGGCCCTCGGCACTGGACCTCAGTGTCCAGGTAGAATGATGGAGGTGGAGTCACTCCTTCAGTGGTCTAAACCACTGAGCCTCTTGGGCTTGTCAATCAGGAGGTCGGCGGTTCGAATCCCCGCAATGGGGGGAGCTCCCATTGCTCGGTCCCAGCTCCTGCCAACCTAGCAGTTCGAAAGCATGCCAGTACAAGTAGATAAATAAGTACTGCTGTGGCAGGAAGGTAAACGGCATTTCCATTTGGTGCTCTAGTTTCGGTGTTCTGTTGTGCCAGAAGCAGCTTAGTCATGCTGACCACATGACCTGGAAAAACTGTCTGTGGACCAACACCAGCTCCCTCAGCCTGTAAAGCGAGATGAGTGCTGGAACCCCAGAGTCCTCTGCAACTGGACTTAACTGTCAAGGGTCCTTTACCTTTACCTTTTAAGGGATGCCTGAGTCCTTTCTTTTAAAATAATCTCTTCATAGCAGCCAGCTAGTGAGCAGAGCTCTGTTGATGCGCAATTTTCAACAGATGAAGCCAGTCCCACAGAAAGTGGCACATCTTTCTGAAGCTCTCCTTGGAAGTTTTATATGTCACACCTGCATTTTATGCACTGCTTTTTTCTAAAACAAAAGTTTAGGGGGTACTCTCATTTTCCTACTCATATTGAATGAGGCCAAACTTAGATTCACAAAATGTTTAGGGGTCTGCGTACCCCTGTGTCCCCCCAGAAAAAACTCACTGATTTTATGTATTTCATGTACAATTCTCCTTATCAAGATCTGCCACTCCCAAGTGGACTTGCTACTAGGGACAGATGGATCTGTCGATTTCGGTCTTCTCAGTTTCTCTTAAAAAACAAAATCAAAATTACATTCATTACTCCATATTTCTGCAGAATTTTGCCATAACAAATTCCAATTAATATTCACCAACATTTTAGCACAAATTTCTCCGGAAAAAGACATTTTTGTTTACAGTTTTGACTAATATGCACATTTTTGCAAGCCATTTCCCCTGATGTAATGATCTATGCCCAGATTTTTGAGGAGCTATATGGATTTGCCCTTAAAAATCCACAGAGAAATAGGATAGAATGAACTTTAGTCCCATACTTATGTGGATCTCAATATCATTTCTCCCTTATTTCTTTTTACAGGGGTGGATTGTAAGCAAAGCTCAGATTCATATCAAGAATGAAATAATCAAAGAGTCCTGGTTCACCTTCCTGATTTTTTTCTTTGTTCAAAATAAATTGTACTTATAAAAAGATCCATGTTGTCTTATTTTATGGCAAGGAAATAACCCCAGTTGTTGAGTTGCTCATGAATGGACAGAGACAAAATCATATGGAGTTTTTGCTGGGGTTGATAAGAGAATAGATGCAGGGAGACAGGTCTGGGGTAGATATGTAATATCTAAAGGTTTGTCACATGGAAGATGGAGCAAGCTTGCCCTCTCCTGCTCCAGAGGCTAGGAGTCGAACCAATGGATTCAAGTTACAAAGAAAAGAGATTCTAACAAAACATCAGGAAGAACTTTCTTCTTCTGATGATGATGATGATGATACCTTTATTGTCATTGTACAACCTGTGTACAATGAAAGTAAACGAGCCACCCTCCCCACCCAAACACTCACTCTTATCGAACAACACACCATCTCGCAAGTCAATTTCGCTATGTTATTTTCCATTCAACAGCCTAACAGCCCACAGTTAGAAGCTATTTTTTAGCCTGTTGGTACGGCTGATTATATTTCTATATCTCCTGCCCGAGGGTAGAAGATTAAAGAGGTGATGGCCGGGGTGTGAGTCATCCCTGAGAATTTTTCTCACTCTCCTAAGGCAACGATCCCTTGCGATGTCATCTAACGGACACAAGGGACAGCCCATGATATCATGTGCTGTATTCACCACCTTCTGTAGAGACGTAGAGACTTTCTGTCCGTGGCTGTCAAGCCAGCATATTACACTGTGATACAATATGAAAGGACACTTTCTATTGTGGACGGGCAAAAGGAGTTCATCAATTGTTGTTTAACATTATCCTTTCGCAAGACCCTGAGGAAATGGAGTCTCTGTTGGGCCTTTGACAGCAGAATGGACTCCCTCGGAAGGTGGTGGATTCTCCTTCACTGAAGGTTTTTAAGCAGAGGTTGGATGGCCATCTGTCATGTATGATGTGGTAGAAAATCCTGTATTGCAGGGGATTGGACTAGATGACCCTTGGGGTCATTTCCAACTCTAAAATTCTGTGATTCTATATAGAGCTGGGTATTGTATATAGGTGGTACTGAAAGCAATAGGATTTAATGAGACCTCGTAAGGAGACTACAGAGGGAGGGAAGGGAGAGGAGAATAAGTGCCTTAAGCAGACCCTCTTGGGGACTTCAATGGAACAAAGGAGAGCAGAGGAGCTTCCTCCCCCAATGGAAACATTGAATGCATTGTGACAGATAAAAGCAGCTAAGAACATTTCTGAAAACTACGTGGATACATGGATACTGTTAAGTAGGAGAGAGTGGGGGGAGGGTTAACATTTTCAGTGCCGAAAAGGCAGTAAAGACGAGAACAAAGCAGAGACCCTTAAACGCGCCGGTGACAATATTCTCTGTGATATCAGCAAGGGGAGTTTGGGAGGATTACAAGAGTGACTCACAAATTACTTCTGTGCCCAAGCAAAGCATGAAGGTCATTGACAACACCACGCCTTGCTTGCCTCTAGCATCTTGTTTTCAGAACCATATTGCCTCTGGACAACATGTCTCCATTTGGCTGTCACGGTGGGTAGCTCGTGAAAGAACTTCCTACTGAAGGGCTGTGGAACTAGCAAAATATACCAATAAGCATTTCCTAAACTTAAGAGGCTCAACTAAGTCACAGTTGCTTCCATCTTCTGTAATCCTTGTCCCCTCAGATGCAGGTTTCCCAGACAAATATCCACTGCTAATTTTCCATCGCTATGAAGATCTGTTATATACTCTTTTCTGTCTTCTTCCTGGTGCTTTTTATTGAGCCAGGTAAGTTTCTCCTAAGAAAGAAAGACAGAAAGACAGATGAAAGAAAGAAAGAAAGAAAGAAAGAAAGAAAGAAAGAAAGAAAGAAAGAAAGACCCTAAGAAATGTATGGTAAATGCATGTAGTGCTTTTGGTTTCCCTCCTACGTAAAGCACTATAAGTCCTATTTTGCACTGACTCAAAATCTTCCCCATCTAACAGTCTGAATTTGCATTTATTAACAGCAAAGTAAATCCTACCAATTTTGATCAGAATTTACTTCTAGGTAACCAGGCATAGGATTGCACCCTAGCATAGGAGAGCTGTATTTGATGGTAGTTGTTACATTGATATCTAATGTGTGGGAAAAGTGGTGTGTTGCATGATTATTTCTTGGCCTCTGTGCTATTCAACACCTTTATAAATTACTTGTATGAAGGAATAGAAGGAATGTTCATCGAATCTGCAGATGACACCAAACTAGGAGAGGTAGTTGATACCTCAGAGGACAAAACCACGATTCAAGATGGCCTTAACAGATTGGAGAACTGGGCCAAAACCAACAAAATGAATTTCAATTAGGGACAAACGTAAGGTTCTACACAATAGGCATGAATAATCAGGTGCTCAAATATTGGATGGGGGACTCAACTGCGCTGCATGTGAAACAGATCTAGGGGTCTTAGTAGACCACAAGCTTAACAAGAGTCAACAGAATAATGCAGTAGCAAAAAGACAAAGAAAAGGAAAAAAGCTAAGGAAATTTTTGACTCCATCAACAGAAGTCTAGTGTCCAGATCAAGGGAAGTAATAGTACTACTCTATTCTGCCTTGGTCAGACCATATCTGAAATCCTGTATCCAGTTCTGTGCACCACAGTTTATTGACAAGCTGAAAATTTGTCTAAAATTCGATGATGATGATGATGATGATGATGATGATGATGATGATAATAATAATAATAGTATTTTTTTATTATTTTATTATAATAGTAATTTTTTTATTTCCCCAGCTGAGGCCGGGCTCAGAGCAGCTAACATCATAAAAACAACACAATATGCATAAAAACAGACATCAATTAATTAAAATACATCTTAAAATTAATTCAGACAAGTTAAAATCTGGGCAGGCAGCAATTATCAGGTTGGAACTGAGAGCAGTTAATACTTGCCAGGACCAATTGTTTCCACTGATCATACAAGGACCTGTGAGCGGGTTGGTGTAAGGTTGCCAGACACCCCTGTTTCCCGGGGATAGTCCCTGGATTTACAGCTTTCTCAGCATTTACATGTATGTAGCAAACAATAAGTGTCCCCAGATTCATTGAAAAGAATCTGGTAACCTTAGGTTGGGGGACTCCTTTGGGCTTGTTTTATGCAAAGGAAAGTAAGACAAACTGCATCCTGCCCAAAGGCCTAGCGGAACAGCTCCATCTTGCAGGCCCTGTGGAAAGATGTCAAATCCCACAGGGCCCGGGTCTCTTGTGGGAGAGTGTTCCACCAGGCTGGGGCCATGGCCAAAAAGGCCCTGGCTCTAGTTGAGTCCAGTCTAATTTCCCTGGGCCCCAGGATCTTCAAGGTTGATTCTAGAGATAGAGATAGATGGGGATCCGGGAGTATTTATGTATTGAATTGATATACTGCCCTATACCCAAGGTCTCATTTTGCCACCTGAGGTGAAACTGGAATGTGCTGTTGTGCTGCTGCTGAAGCCCCCCCTTACCTGAGCTGCTTGGTGGCACCCACAAAGCAGAGACTAATGAGATCTCATGAGAGTGCAGTGAAATATTGTGAGATCTCATCAGAAACCAGCATCAGAGGCAGCAGGTTGGATAGTGAGCCTATGAGCCTATGGGGGTATCTCCTCTCTGGCTTCCCTCACCCAAGGCAGCTGCTTCACTAAAGCTAAACCTCATAGGCATGGAGGCGAGTACAGCCACTTCATCACCAGCAGAGCCATCTTTCCCATGCGGCTTAGTGGTGCATTGCGCCAGGGCGCCAGCCTCTCAGGGGCGCCCCACTGAGTGGGGGAGCTGTGCAGCTTTGCCAATGGCCTCCCCTTTTCCTGCATGCCCACCAGCTGTGCCGCATCAACCATATGGCTGGTGGGCATGCAACTTGCCTCCCAAGCCTCCGTGGGAGTTGAGCGATCCCTGCAGAGGCTTAGGATGGAAGCTGCGCCCCGCCAACTATATGGCTGGCAGGCACGCAGCTTCCCTCCCAAACCTCTGCAGGGATTGCTCTCCCACAGAGGCATGGGGAAGAGTTGCGCCCCACCCCCAGTGGCTGGCAGTGCACAGCTTCGCACGCGCGCCCCCCATCCATGGTAATTTGGAGGCGCTGAGCGGATATTTGCACCCTGGCGTCACATCTGCTAAAGACAGCCCTGATCACCAGACACCACCCAGGCAGCCCCACACCAAAAGGCCTTAGGAATTCAAACTCAGCATGAAGAAAGCACCCATAATGTGACTTTCTAAAGTCTAATCATAATTGCAATACTGACCCATAAGCTTCTGTGGTTAGTTTTTATTTATTTGCTTGATTTTGAACTTTCGTCTCCAGCTTTTAGTTTTGCTTCGGAGCAAAATCAAAACTCGTGTACAATTTAAAGTGACTGAAAAACATGCAACAGTATTTAAAGTGCAGCAAAGAAGCAGAAATGGAATCAGTTGCATTCAGTTATATATAGAAATTAAGTCATGAAAATAATAAAGTAGGAGAAATGCTGGCGGGAACACTGATAAACATCATGCATATGAAACTTTCTGAAATCAGGAAGACGACAGAAAAGTGTGTGAGGAGATGATTATTATTGTTACTATTATTTTAGAAAGATTGCCCCACCTTCATTTGTGCAGGATTCACTCTGATAAACAATAGGAGAAAATGTAAGCATCAAAAAGGCCACTGCGTCCGTCCTACAAGCTCCCTAGCTTGTAAATATCCTGCAATCTTGATTGGAAGCTGCACTAGAAAGAAACTTTGCTGTAAAAAGTGAGTAGCCCATTGCATCCCACTGACTTGCTTGTGTGTACAATAAATTGATACCAATCTGCTGTAAAAAAAAAAAGAAGTAAAAAAAGTGAGTAGCTTCAGATATCTGAGATGGCAGTTATATTTGCTAACAACTCTCCCTGCCCCCGAGTCCTGTAAAATGTTTTCATAATGCAAACAAAGAACTATACACACACACACACACACACACACACACACAGTATTTTTCTCTCTATAAGACACACAAGACCACAGGACGCACCTACCTTTTGGAGGAGG